TTGAGACGGAGTTTCGCTCTTGTTACCCAGGCTGGAGTGCAATGGTGCAATCTCGGCTCACCGCAACCTCTGCCTCCTGGGTTGAAGCAATTCTCCTGCCTCAGCCTCCTGAGTAGTTGGGATTACAGGCACGCGCCACCATGCCCAGCTAATTTTTTGTATTTTTACTAGAGACGGGGTTTCACCATGTTGACCAGGATGGTCTCGACCTCTTGACCTCGTGATCCACCCGCCTTGGCCTCCCAAAGTGCTGGGATTACAGACTTGAGCCACCGCGCCCGGCCCTAATTCTGTTCTTGAGGGAAGTATTACAAGATGAACTGGGGACTCGGCTGGGATCCTGATGGGCTTTAAATTCTTGATTTCACCTGACTGAATTGCTATTCGAGTCACACCTCAGGACCCTGGAAACAGTACACAATTTGCCCATTCATTAATTTATTAATTCAACAAACTTGGACATCTGCTATAAGTCCGACAGGACACTAGTTATCAGGGATGTAGACACTAAAAAGAAGTATCTAACCTCATGCATCTGTGAATCTCCCCATCTAAAAAGACACAGCTTTGTAAAGAAGCTTGTGTGAAAGTGCTAACGACATCCCAGGTATTACGGGGATGTGGGAGAGGCATGGTAACATGGGTTTGGAGGCAGCTTAGAAGTCTAAAGGGGCCAGGCAGAGTGCAGATAAGTGAGGGGGGGTCATCTGATGCAAAGTGGGGACATCTGGAAAGCACTTGTCCCATCTAAAGGAGGCAGCCTCTGAGAGGCTGGGGATCAGGGATAGAAGGGAGATGTACTTTTCACTGTACGTCCTTTTCTATCTTTTGAATTTTGTAACTTAATTCAAAAAAAGGTAAAAAATTTTTAAAGTGAAGTAACCATTATTTGGTCCCACCCTATTTGTTCCTTCTGGGAATGATACTTAAACTAAAAACTGGATTTTTTTTTTTTTTTTTTTTTCGACAAGGTCTTGCTCTGTTGCCCAGGCTGGAGGAGTACATTGGTACAATCATGGCTCACTGCAGCCTCGACCTTCCAGACTCAAGTGGTGGTCCCACTTCAGACTCCCTAGTGGCTGGGACCACAGGTGTGTGCCACTGCACCTGGCTAATTAAAAAAAATTTTTTTTGTAGAGACAGGGTGTCCCTATGTTGCCCAGGCTGGTCTTGAACTCCTGGGCTCAAGTGATCCTCCTGTCTTGGCCTCCTAAAGTGCTGGGATTACAAGCATGAGCCACCACACCCAGCCTAAAAACTGAATTTTTTATGAGACAGGGTCTCACTCTCTTGCCCAGGCTGGAGTGTAGCCTCCACATCCTGGGCTCAAGCACTCCTCCCACCTCTGCCTTCCAAGTAGCTGAGACTACAGGTATGCCCAACTAATTTTTTTGTATTTTTTGTAGAGATGGGGTCTTGCCATGTTGCCCAAGCTCTTCTTGAACTCCTGAGCTCAAGTAATCTGCCCACTTCAGTCTCCCAAAGTGTTGGGATTACAAGCGTGAGCCACCATGCTTAGCCCTAAAAACTGGATTTTTAAAGTGAATTCTCCCAAGTTTGAGATGTTGGCATCTAGTTTAGAAAAACACAGAGGCTAAGTAAAATTTATCTTCAGGCTGCCAGTTTACAAACTTTGGCCTGGTCCTTTTTTTTTTTTTCTATCAATTATCATCAGGGCAGATAATCTTTTTTTTTTTTTTTTTTTTAAGATGGAGTCTGTCTCCCAGGTTGGAGTGCAGTCGTGCGATCTTAGCTCACTGCAACTTCCGCCTCCTGGGTTCAAGCAATTCTCCTGCCCCAGCCTCCCGAGTAGCTGTGCTACCACGCCCGGCTAATTTTTTGTATTTTTAGTAGAGACAGGGGTTTCACCGTGTTAGACAGGATGGCCTCGATCTCATGACCATGTGATCCACCCGCCTCAGCCTCCCAAAGTACTAGGATTATAGGGCAGATAATCTTTTCAGTTTCAGGTGTTATACTTTCCTGTGATATACTCCTCTTAGGGGATAATTTATTTTTTGTTTTTGTTTTTGTTTGAGACAGGCTTGCATTGTCAGCCAGGCTAGAGTGCAGTGGCACAATCTTGGCTCTAAAATAGCTAAGACTAAAGGTGTGCACAACCATGCCTGGCTGATTTTATTATTATTTTTTTTTGTAAAGGTGGTCTCTTGCTGTGTTGTCCAGGCTGGCCTCAACTCCTGCCCTCAAACAGGTCTCCCAAAGTGCTGGGATTACAGACATTAGGCACTGTGCCTAGCTTTAGGCTCAGGTTTTAATAATTAAGAGTTGACTGTATAGTCAGTGACTCCAAATGCAGCGTTTGGGCCAGTAAGTAGCATTAGCATCACCTGAGAACTCATTAGAAATGCAAATTCTTGGCTGGGAGTGGTAGCCCACGCCTGTGATCCCAGCACTTTGGGAAGCTGAGGCGGGTGGATCACGAGGTCAGGAGTTCAAGACCAGTCTGACAAACACGGTGAAACCCCGTCTCCACTAAAAATACAAAAATTAGCCAGGCATGGTGCACGCCTGTAATCTCAGCTACTCAGGAGGCTGAAGCAGGAGAATCACTTGAACCGAGGAGGCGGAGGTTGCAGTGAGCCAAGATTGCACCACTGCACTCCAGCTTGGGACAGCACGAGACTCCATCTCAAACAAACAAGAAAAGAAATGCAGGCCGGGCGCGGTGGCTCACGTCTGTAATCCTAGCACTTCAGGAGGCTGAGGTGGGCGGATCACCTGAGGTTGGAAGACCAGCCCGACCAGCAGGGAGAAACCCTATCTCTATAAAAAGAAAAAAGAAAAGAAATGCAAACCGAGCCCCATCACAGGCCTGTTGAATCAGAAACTCTGAGAATGGCTCTGGCAGCCTTCGCTTTAACAAATTTTCCAGGTGGTTATAATAAATGTTGAAGTATGAGAACTGCTGCCTGTAATCACATTACACAGGCACCTAGCTAACTTAAAAACAGGTCCTGATAATTGAATTCTACTAAACTTAAAAAACTGAATGTAGGTAACTTTATAAAAAAACAAATCTCAGGCCGGGCGCCGGTGGCTCAAGCCTGTAATCCCAGCACTTAGGGAGGCCGAGGCGGGTGGATCACGAGGTCAAGAGATCGAGACCATCCTGGTCAACATGGTGAAACCCCGTCTCTACCAAAAATACAAAAAATTAGCTGGGCATGGTGGTGCGTGCCTGTAATCCCAGCTACTCAGGAGGCTGAGGCAGGAGAATTGCCTGAACCCAGGAGGCGGAGGTTGCAGTGAGCCGAGATCGCACCATTGCACTCTAGCCTGGGTAACATGAGTGAAACTCCGTCTCAAAAAAAAAAAACAAAAAACAAAAAACAAATCTCAAACATGGAATTGTTTTTTCACTTCTCTTAATGCTCTGTAAACATTAATGTATTTATATATGTACTTAGAATTTTCAAAAATCAATTTTATTGAGTTATAATTAACATACAGTAAAAATGCTTCCATCTTAATTCCATGCCTTTTGACAAGTGTTCTGTACCCATGCAACGACCACCACAATCGAGAGAGAACATCTTCATCACTCCAGAAGGGCTCCTTTGCAGTCACTACTCCCTAGGAGTTCAGCTGCCGGTGACATTGATCTGTTTTCTGTCACTGTAGATGAGATTTGTCTGTTATATACAATTTTTAAAAATTAAATGATATGGTATGTATGGCTTGTTTTGCTTAGCATAATGTTTTTGAGACTTACTCATTTGTCGCCTATATCAATAGTTTGCTCCTTTCTACAGCCTGTATTTCATTTATATCTGGATACTTTGTTTATCCATGTGTTTATCTCCAATGGACATTGGGTTGTTTCTGATTTTTTGGTTATTATGAATAAAGTTGCTATGAACATTACTGTATAGATCTTTGTGTGTTCATGTGTTTTTGTTTTTCTTGGGTAAATATGTAGGAATGGAATTGCTAGATTGCATGG